ATTATACAGTTTGTGTCTGCTTTTGATAGAGAAAATATGACTCATTCTTCAACTGGCAGCACTGCACACACTTGGACTACATAGAGAACTTTCATGCACACACACACACACACACACAAGCATGTGCACATATTCATTACAGGGCGCACAGACGCGGATTCAGCACCCACATTGTGCTGTCGGATAAAGCAGGCGGGAGAGAAGTAAGCAGTGTTACAAATAGACTTTGAGAAAAGCTTTTGAGCAGAAGGAAGAAGAGCCTTGAAGAGTGTGAGCCTTCAGAAAGGCAGACGGCAGCATACAGGCATGCTCCCTCCTCTTCTTGTCTTCCTTCTTGTACTCACACTGCAGATAGAACATAATATAAACCATGACACATTTTTGCCAGTGTTCATAAATGCAGCGCCTAATCTTCAAACACGTCACCCAGTTTTCAGTCAAAGTGCTGCTCTCTTGCTCACAGCGTCCCATGATCCTTGTGGAGGACTCCTGGAGGACACTGGGGTGTCATGCTGTGAGGCTGCGGCCACATATGTGTGCACCACATGGCTCCCCTAAGGGAAGCGTCTGATTGGATATGGGTGCTGGAGCTTGTCGCCTATCTGTGAACCCTCCCTTAATCTGGATATAGTAAGCCCACAGGGAAAGACACATCACAAGGGCTAGGTTCAGCGCTGCCTTCACTATCTTTTTCCCCAACTCAGTCAAGCAGCTGAGAAGAAAAATGTATTAACAGTGCTGTGTTATAAACTGAAGCTCTTATATACTGACTACACTGACTCCAAATTCTGAAGTCACATTTTACAGAGTGTGATCAGTTGAGTTTTGATCGACAGCTGAGAAAATAAAAAGTAAAAACCACAGACAGTGTTTCTCTTTGTTAATATCATACGATAGACTTTGCACATGGCGTTTTTCTTCTTGTGTGCAAATAGATGAGGATTGAGTTGGACATAATCTTTTATTCTATGTGTCCTTTCACTGCTTAGAGATGGAGAAATGTGGCACAGTCCTGTTGTTAATTACCACCTGAAAACCTCATTACTGAGGTGTGTAATCATCAGGAGGTAGGCAGGTTAAGTGGGTTGGTGCTATAGGAGATGTTTCCAAGGCAACTTAGAGACATCTGCTATAACATCAACCCACAAGACAGCTCTATCTGAAACAGTGCACACACATTTGTGGAAAAAAAAAATAGATCCTCAAAATTGCAAAAGAAATAAACACACTCGTATGAAAGAGGCTTAGGGCCACATGAGGAGAAAAAAAAAATACAGGAATGAGATTAAAGTTGAAATTTCGAGATTAAAGTCAATATTTCAAGATTAAAAACTCGAAATTATGTCAATAAAGTCGAAATTTTGAGATTTAAGTCGACATGAATAAAGTCGAAATTTTGTGAATTAAATCTAAATTTTGAGATTAAAGTCGGCGCAAATAAAGACGAAATTTCATGAATAAAGTCGTAATGTTGAGATTGTGATAATAAACCAACAGCATTGTCGCTCGTCACTCGACAACATGTCGTCTGTTGAACAGTTTGTAGTGCTGTACTTTAGAATTGGATTTAGTAATAAGGAAATCCTTGCGTTTTTAACACACAAATACAGTGTGGTCATAAGTATTCAGACTCTGAAAAGACTGTGCCGAAGATTACGATGCAGAAGCAGGGTTATCGATAGTTACACCTGCGTGCTATACAGCAGGGCTATGTTGTATCGCAAGATACAATAAGACAACTAATCAAGTTCATTGATCCTGAAGGCATGGGGCACAGACGAGCCCGGTGAGGTGTAAATTTGCTGAGGTAAGATGACCGGATTTGCCAAACAAGTGTGGGTCACCTGTTCACCAACTTGCCCTCTCCTCCTACCCAACACAGTTGCATTTGGGCCATGAATAGGAGACCATCTGACTGTCTGTTCATAGACCACTTTACACAACTTTAGCACACATAGATCCTCCATGGCCTTCATTAAACTTTGACTAACCCTGGTAGCTTTCTGTTCAAACAACAGCAAGGCAATAAATTACACATACTAATTACTCACTAACTACTACAGGGTATCACTCAGTAGGCTACATGTCGTAGATGTCGCTCAAAAAATCTAATTATTGACTAAGTCCAGCTAAAACCGGACTTTTACAAACATGTAAACACATTAGTCCAACAACAATCACTTAAAGTTTCACTTCTCATACGACTTATGTCAAAATCAAGATTCTTTGGAAACTTTGTAAATGTCATTTAGTGCTAGCATATTTTGTGCTAACACAATAATTGATTCGTCTAATTTGCATAAGCTAGTAAACGCAAACTTTAACACAATGAAACTGTTGCCGTAACTCCCCAGTAAAATGTGCAGTGGGTTTTTGGTTAATGGGGCCAGAACAAGAGACATCACTTAAATATTTTATTCTAAGGACTGATCCAGAGATGACCATAGATAGAATTTAATGTTCCTTTAAACTTTGAAAACTATAATGACAGGTGATGACCCTTAATGACAGAATTATTGTTAACCCTGTGCATCAAAATGAGAGAAAGTCTAACTCCAATTCTGTTTGAGACATATGTTTACTTTGTGTGTGAGTGTATGTTAATATATGTGTATCCATGCCTAATGGACACAGGTGTGTCAGCCTGGCTTGAGCTGGATGACCTCTCCTTTTGTGTCAGGATCTCATGTCATGCAGAGGCAGAGACAACACTTTCCACTGTGGATCGATCTCCTTGACAGTAGAGCACTCCGCTCCTGTGTCTCAAACACAAAGGAAAGACACCTGCCTGGAAGAGAAGCTCAGACTCAAAGCCTGCAGGGAATCACGTATCTGAGGTGAGTGCTGGGATTGATGCTTACCCTCCTGTTCACATATATCAAACATAAAAAGAAGCGCAAGTTAAATGAATATAGATGTGAAAATTCTCCACAGTGGCCTTTGCTTTACCTAGAGAAACCCTGACTCTGCAAAAGCAAGAAAATCTTATCAAAATACTAATGTTAATGTTGTTAGTCTGGAATAATTGAAGATTCAAAGATACATTTCAATTTCCATGTTTATTGAAGGACAAAACAAATTTCCCGCATTGATGAGCAACAATATGACATTCACTGAACATGTAAAACATATTTGTTGTCGCTTCACCAAATATTTTGTCATATGACAATAATACTGTTTATTCAAGTTGAAGATTGCACACAGTTTCTAATGAATAGTCGAATACTGCTTTTATTTGTTTTGCATATTTAAAACTTGTGAAGTTTTTTAATGCTTATGAAACAGAATGAAATTCATATTGATGCCTTTTTATGATATATGAAAGCAAATTAGACCATCAGAAACAAGACTGATGAGTTTTATATTGTGATTTTAAATACCTGAAACTAGTGTAAGTGTCACCAGGCACTATTTCTTCCCCACAACAGTTCACGATAAATGATAAATCTGATTTATAAAAAGTCAGAATGAGGAGTTATTTTGGTAGAAGACACTTCTACTAAATGAATTTCCCTTTGGGGATCAATAAACTTCTTCTACAACATTGTACTAAGGCATAGAGGACATGAAAAGCAAAGATTGCTCTGTCCACACGAGGCACCAAAATTGACACAAACTAATAGTTCCTTACAGGGACTTTAAATCTTTTTGCTTATTTTAAATTAGAAGAAAGTACATTTTATAGCAGGTTTGGAGACTGTAAGAATGACAAACATGATGGAGGAAATAAAACCCAAGTTTTTTATAGAGAGAAGAAAAATATAACAAAAAGTTTTTTTGCTTTTTCCTCCAAAACCCCTGCAAAATCACAAATGTAATAATTGCCATTTGATACCTTTTCCAAGATGAAAACATCAACTACGCTCAGAGTGTACATTTATCTGTTTAGCAATAAAAACATTAAACATTATTTTCCTGTTTTGTTTCTAGAGTGTGTGCACGTTGCTCCCTAAGACCATTGATAGTTTTGTGCTGAAGATGATCTAAAATGCTCGCTCACAGTACATTTCTCTCTCCCTGTAGAGCTCAGTCTGTGTAGGTTAGCAGTATGATTTGTTGTAGCTACCATTTCTCAATGGGATTCCTTGTTCCAGGCTCAGATAGACACACATCTTTGATCGAATGCACTCAGAGACATGCCAAAAAAACATCAATTTGAACACAATATCTGTAATTCTGCAAACATTTGCAGTTTAAGTACAGTTAATGAAAACATCACCCTGGCCAAGTATCCTGTGAGTAGGAAGACACACTTCATACAGACTGAATATTCCCTGAGGAGTGAAAACCAACACATTTACTGTCTTGTTAATAAGATACCCTTCCATCCATTGAGGGGCCAAAACACATATGCAAACATATGACATACGCCCACCTACTGGCAATTTCATACTTACATTTCACTTGAACTGCACGTCTACCCCTATGCTGTGGGAGAACGCAGAGCTCACAGGTGGGAGTAATATTACCATGTTGTAAAATAAAAAATAAAACTACAAATCCCTGAAGAAATATTAGCAAATTAACTCACGGTAATTACTCAATTTGCAGGGCTAAGACCCCTGGAATATACCAGTGTATATATTATTTTTATTTTAAAAGTCGTGATGCATCTTAACAGGCTTTGTTGTTGATTACAAGAACAGTACTGACAGGAAGTTTTTTTTGATAGCAATGTGGTATGCTACAGTGAAGTGCATATTTGAAGGAGAAAGTGCAGCATTTGTTACGACACAATGTGATGCATTGTCTAAAATTTACATACTGTTTGGGCATGCTGTAATTAGCAAAGAACAAGTGACTTACTTTACCTGTATGACAATTACTTCACACTTTTTTGGACAGGAGGCATCATACTTGAACACCTCGCATTATTTTTCAGTATTTGTTCTTTTTGCTTTTGGTGTCTGGGAGCGACAGTCCTGCAATGGCGCACAGGAAATGACGCGTTCTACTCGGTTTTACCTGACAACGAGACGGGAGGGGGGGAGGAGAGCGCTGCTAGAAGCAACATGGCAGAGAACCCAAAGAAGAAGAAAAAGCCTTCCTGTTCAGCAGAAGGTCTGTTGGCAAAGGAAGTGAGTGACAAACGGAGAAGACTAACACATCTGCATCACTTGTCCTCGATGGAGAGCCCTGAGGGAGGAGATTGGACTGAGGCCTGACTCCGATGTTGCCTTGATGCTGCTAGATAAGTAAGTGACTCTGTTCATTACAAGCAGGATGTGCTGCTGTTAAATGTACTGGACTGAGTACTTTATTATTTTCTTGGAAATGGTGCTATGAATGTAATGTATTATTAGCAGCCTAGTGTTTGCCACATTTTGTAATGTTAGCCTAACGAGCAGTAAGTTACAAGGTGTGTCGCCTGTGTCGTTGTGTGTGACTTACTGCGGGGAGTCTGTGTGTAACTTTAGTAGCCGACATGTTGTGTAGACAGTTATAGTCCGTGTACTGTGATGAGCAGTATGCGGTGAGCCAAGTGTTACTCCATGTACGGGTTACACCAGGCCATACATCATATTGAGGTGCCGGCCTTATTGTTGTCATAATGCAGATATCCTCTAAGGTGATAGAAGTTACGCACTATAGCTTATATATGTTGACTGCCATCTAAGTTTCACTCGTTTAAACTATAGACTGTATATAGAATGGACGCCGTCTGCCTCCTCGCTGGGTGAAGCCACCGCCAGGACAGCACCCTCTGGTGACGGGCTGCAGTATAGGTCATAAATCCCGCCTCCTCCAGCAATCCCTATGGAGCTGTGGACAAACTTTAGAAATTAATTACACAGAATATATATTTTTCTCCCCCTGCTTGCAAGTTATTAAGGGGTTCATGTTTTCAGTGATTGACAGTTGATACAGCCTATGGGCGTACGAAGATTGCATAGCTCACTTGGGGGGATACGCCGTTTAAGCCGAGCGTCATCACAGCGACTCTCAGTGACTCTCCTGCCAAATGTGTACAACACTATTGCGCAAGTGGTAGTTTCAGGAAGTGGAGAGAATCCCAAAAATACCAAGAGCAAATCAGCTTCAAATTCATATAACGATAAAAGATACCAGTTGTCCATGGTATATACAGTCTATGTTTCAAACGCTGTCAGAAACTCCCACAGCTTTAATGACGGAGCCAGCTGATTTCTCAGTGACGGACTCTCTTGTTTATGGTGATTTATGGTGATCAAAATAAACATGGCAATGATTCATTACTGTTAAATTTCCTTTGACTTTAGAATGAGCCGCCTCATTTTCATCTACCATAAAGCAAAAACGGTTCAATGAACAAGGTCGGCCTGAAGAAGCTACAGATTTTCATTCAACATTAACATCATGTTTACTGTAATTCTTCATATGAAGGAGAAATTAGCAAAGCTAATGTGGTAATCAACAAAACATCATTAGCTGGATGATGGTATGTCAAATGTTATAATTACATCAATCTCTATTATCCTTGTTAAATGGAGTGAAACTAAGAAAGCAACAGTATTACAGATCACTATCTTGATTGATAAATTAAATGACTGACCTCCATCAGAGAGGTAAACAGACCAAAACAGACAGGTAAAGACAAAGACACAAGGACGGGGTAAAGACAAGTAGCTACACAGAGGTGTCTTAAATCTCCCCTTTCATTCCTAACTCTTGTTTTAAAGAAACAAACCACCAAACAATCCTCAAACAGGGATACAGACAAACAGTCAAAGAAGACTCAAGCAACAGAGATATGTTCTGACTGCTGTAAAGGATGTAACTTTGTAAAATTCCTGTAAGTTTTTGGTAGCTGCTGTGTTTAGTTTGTCTTGTGATTGAGCTTTTAGGTACCTCTGGCAGCTTCTTAAGAAAATTCAATTTGTGCCTCTGCACTCGCATCTACAGACACTTACAAAACCTCCAGGGGCATTACAGATGTGATTGTGAAATAACTATAAAACAAACAGCAAAACACCTCTTCTATGGTCAGATAAGAAAATGATGTATAGTGAGTGGGTGGTTATACAAACAAGGATCCCAAGGAGCTTGACCCCAATGCTTTATGTCTTAATTGGAGTCATTTTGTTTGAGATCCCCAGACAGGATGATGAAGACCCCTCCCAGAGTGTTGGGGTCCTGCTCACACTGTCAGGAACCTAATTTGCATAACTACCTGTTTACTATACATCATCTTACTTGACACCCAGCTACAGGCTTAAACTTTGATACTGAAATGATTTTCTTTTAATTCACCTATGCTGAGTGGTCCTTTCTGTCTTCCTCAGGAAAAGCTGCTTTATGTTCAGACAAATACCTCTCCGCCATCACACCCATTACATTTCTCTGATCCAACTCACTTCAAATCCAAACCCAAACGTCAATAGTCATCTTAGCCACAGCCGAGAAAGAATGAGAAGGGTGTGCGTGTGTGTGTGTGTTTGTGTGTTTCGCAGAGGAAGGGTGTGGGCAGTGGGGGCTAGTTGTACCATGACGGACGTGTGCAACAACAAATGAACAATGCCTCCAGCAATATCAAAGATGTCAATGGGAGGAGATTTGAATGGTGTGTCGGTGGAGACGTTGATTATTACTCATGTCAATTGTCGAGACGATGAGCGCTCAGGGGCATCTATCTCTCTCTCCTCCCTCTTTTTCTCCCACTGTTTTGTTGTCATTTCCAGGAGTTTCAAGGTAATGAACGCCTCTTGTTCTGTTGTCTGATGTAATTGAATAATAGCTGATGTACACATGTCAAATAGCGTGAAAGTCACTCATAGAAATCAAACCACATCAACGCTGGTTTGCGTCCTTATTCATGCACACATCCACACAAGCACACTCACAAAGGCAGCAACACACACCAGATCTGATTTGCCCAGGGAAACTGATATAGCAGTTAAAAAAAATCTGGCTCCTGATATGGTTTATTTCCTGACAACCAAAGCAAACACTGAATTGATACCTTTAATACCTCCAATGTTGCACCAAAGTATCAAAACAAATGTAACAGAGATAAAGTGTTGCACTCATAGACTGTATATACTATGGTTCCGCCTACCACCTGTATACGGGTTTGAAGCCAAATAGCTCTCTGTATTTCTGGGATTTTTCTTGATTTCCTGAAACCAGAGCTGCGCAGTAGCGATGCCCACATTCGGGCGCGCCGTTGCCGAGAGTCCCTGTAAAGACGCTCAGCTCAAACAGCGTATCCCCCGGGAGAGCTTCACAATCCCTGAAATCCTATAGGCTGTATCAGGTGTCAATCATAGCAAACCTGAACCCCCTAATAACTTTTAAAAATGGAGCTTCACAGAAAAAAGAGGACTTGAGCACAAACCAGTCTTACAATGTCAACATCACAAGCGGGGGGGGGAGAAAAATTTATGTTCTGTGTAATAAATTTCTAAAGTTTGTCCACAGCCCCATAAGCTTTGCTGGCGGAGGCGCGATTTATGACCTGTACTGCAGCCCGTCACCAGAGGGCGCTGTTCTTGGAGTGGCTTCGGCCAGCAAGGAGGCAGACACTGTCTATTCTATATACAGTCTATGGTTGCACTCACTGCATATGCAGCACAAATTTTAGCCATTTTTTCCTGCAATGTCCAGCTGTATCATTTGTGCTCTTGCATCCTAAACTCCAAGATAAAAGTTGCATCAGTATACAAGACAATTTTGTTGCACTTTTTAGAGGACATTAGGGTATTAATGATGTTTTAAAAGACACATTTTACAGTTACTTTGTTTTTGTGAGAGGTTTATTTGAACACTGGGGACAAAGAGGCTTAGGGGTTAAGTCTCACAGACAGGATGGGAAACACAGTCTGTACGTAAAACATGAGGTGGGTTTATATGACCACTTTATGCTAATCCATTTAAAATCCGTTGAACTGAAAATTCTGTGTCATCTATTTGCATTGGGGTATGATCTCTTCCCATCAGGGGCCTCATGTATCAACACTTGCGTGGAACTCATACCAGAAACGAGCGCACGCAAGGTCCGTCACGCTGAAAAAAATCCGTATGTATCAATGTGTGCGGGCGCCGAAATCCACGTGTGTTTCCTTGATAAATCCCAATCAGCGTGGAATTGAGCGCAGATGTCGGAGTGACTGGGCCCGTCCCCGTTACGCCCTCCTATAAATATGCAGATTTATTTAAATGGGGTCTCCCTGTCCTCGCACGCAGACAAAATGACAAGAAAAACTAAATTTACGGCGTGCGAGGTGGAGGTGCTGGTGGCGGAGGTGGAGGAGCGACAGCGTGTTTTATTTGGCAGCCTGTCCAGTGGCGTCAGTGCAAAACGAAAATGCTTGGAGTGGGAGAAAGTTTGCGAGAGGGTGAATGCGGTGGGTTCCGAGACACGCACCCCCGCGGAGATTAAAAAAAAGTGGTCGGACCTCAAGGTGGAGGTCAAGCGGCGTACAGCTGCCCTCCGGAGGAGTACTGGCCAGACAGGTGGGGGTCCGGGGGAGGAGACCCTCACACCGTTTGAGCAGCGGGTGGTGGCGATTATTATTATAGGGTAAGTGGCGTGTCACACAAATGTCCACATGCTTTGTCATCCCACTGAGCAAAAGACGTATATTAGACGTCTAGTCTAAGTTTATACTTCATTTCAACGTCTAGATTCAGTCTATTTTTAGACGTGATTTATACTTCGCCCTTAACTTCATTTTTCGATAACTTTTTATGCAATAAACAACTGTAATGTGCATAACTGACCTCTAAATACTGGATTACATTACCTATGATACCGTGGAGAGAGATGTAAACGCAACAGATACACAGAAGCAGGAATTGAAATGAACAAATATTTTTATTGTGTCACAGAAATCAATGTGTCGGCCGTGTCGCCGGCTTGCGGAACCCCGGCCCGCGGCAGCCCGTCCGCCGGCTCGGAGTCGTCGGCCAGGACCAGCGGCATTCGGGCCACCCCGGCCCCCGGCCCCAGCACCAGCACCAGCATCAGCACCAGCGCGCCGACAAGCGGTGGAGCGTCCACCAGCCGCGGCGCTTCCGCTGGACCACCCGGACGCAGTGGAAGGGTCCTCGCGGAGGGGGTCCTGCAATCGCAGGAAGAAATCATCAGGGGGATCGCAGGGATCAACGAGCGGCTGGACCGGCTCGTAAATGTCCTCGAGCGTCTGGTGGAGAAAATAAATAAATTTGGCTCATTGAACTGTGTATTCACTTCTTACCCATTCACACTGTGGCGATGAGATTCTCCCGCGCGAGGACAGCGGCCCGGCAGGGATCAGCTCGCATCCCTCCGTCTGCTGCTGGTTCGTCATGTGGGGCGACGTGCTGCTCGGCCACGGGGATGTGGTGCACGCTTGTCACATAGTGAGTCACCAAACACCGCCACACAGCGTCGCCAAAGTGCGAATCACAGTCAACGCAAGTATCAGCTCAACGCCAATTTCTACACCACCTCCTGACTTTGCGTTGATTAGCGCTGGAACCGACGCTCGTTTCGCGATGATAAATCTGGACGTGTGCGCCAATTTTGGCGTACGCAAGGTTTTCTTGCGCCGCAAGCGTTGATACATGAGGCCCCTGGTGTTTACACACTCGAGATGCTGATCATCTCCTAAGTAATGTGACATCATGATAACACATCACAATAAAGAAGATGGAGGTCAAGCATCTGCATGCGAGTAAGCAGTTTACTTTATCTTTGATGAAAACAAAGTCAGAAAGGACCCTTGTTTCGCTTTCTAACTATTCATGTACCACCATACTGCTTTAAAGTGCTGTCATGATCTCGAGTCATGAGAGACAAGCAACAAGCACATGCAAAAGATCTGCCAACGGAATACAGTTAGAGCACATGTGTACCCGACTGTTTGATCAGACAACAAAAGTATTACACCAGCCCTTTTTAGAATAAAAATCCTACTTGGATTGGTTGTTTTATTCTGATCAAGGGATTTGTATGAGTCATCTTTCATCTGAGTTGGCTATTTTTCCAATTGTAATCTGATCAGAGGTTGCCATTAAAATCCACCCAGTTGCTTTACCCACTGATCTTTGGAAAAACCCCTTTAAAGCTTAATAACAGCAGTTGTCATATAAAAGCTGTGGAGATGAGGAGATCCTTTGGCTTCTTGATGTGTATTTAAATCAAGTAAAAAACTATTGAGACAGTAACAGATTTTTGTACCAGGCTGTTAACATGCCATGCTGCAAAAATGGACATTCTAATAGTTAATGGGGCTTTGTGGACTTTTGGAGCCAGCCTCAAGTGGAAACTTGAGGAACTACCCCGTGTTGCACTCCACCACTGGCTTCATTTTTAATACCAGAGGTGGCAGCTCAACACGAAAGTTTGGTTAAAGATTTGGGGCCTAACAAACTACAAGGTTGGCAATATTTTTCAAACTAGACAACAAAAATTATCACCAGTCGATGTCTGAATCTTAAGATGGCTTTAACTTTGAAAAGTCTCAAAATCAAATGCCACAATGCAACACTGTTGCTCAGCTAACTTTGCTCACTCTGCACTTGCCTGACCACATCCAACCTCAGAAAATGAAAATGGGCCACTTTTTAAAATTTCTTTCCCTCCATGGTTTCCTTGAAAAAAAAAATCACCTTTTGTGTCAGTTTTATTTTTGTGTTCAAAAACATAAAATCAAACAACTGCATAATTTCAAAACCCATCCCTGAAAGGAAAATCAAATGACCACAAGACATACATAGTGAATAGTATCCTCGTTCTGAGCAGCTGCCAAAAAAGATGATTTTGACCTGTGCGTTTTGTTTCGATCAGTTATTGACAAAGCTATTGCCTGACACTAAATATGCATTTAATAAGACGTGCAAAGAACTTACGAACCTAAAAAATAGTCTGAACTCTGATTTCCATTTTGGGGGACCATGTTCTTGACTCTGTTTTGGTCTCCGCAAACTTCCAAGAAAAAAAGAAGTTTTCTGCACTTTGCTAACACAGCTGCATACTTTTACATGGAAATTTCCAGCATTGTGAAAACCAATATCTTAGACTTCAATAAAAATAGGGGGGAACTTCAGGGCCAGGTAAAAATGGTTACCCTGTGATTTCAGCACTGTAGGCATCACCTTTCATATGAGAGAAGTCATTTGATTTATTGTTAATAAAAGAACATTAATAAGAAGAACTTTGCATGGTCTTTACTGCTTTTTTGTAATTTTTATCTGTCTTACTGACGTCCTCTGGAGCTCTGGTTTAATAATGTAAGACAGTAAAAAGCCCATTAAAGGATAAAGCATTTGAGTAGAAAGAGAGAGGACGGCAAAAACATACAATGACAGGCAGGTAAACATAGTGGAAAAAACACCATAGAGACAGTCACACAGACAGACAGTGATGTGACGAGTGCAAAGATTGATATGCAGGTTGGTTCGTGTGGACAGTAAAAAAAAAAAACAGACGGGCAGACAGAGAGACAGCCAAGCATGCACAGTATGATGACAGGCAAAAAACATGAAGAAAGACAAGTGATAGAGGAAGACACACATGCAGGTAGACAAGCATAAAGGTGGACAGACAGGTAGACATAATATAAAAAAAAAAAACAGTCTATCCAGCAGACGTCCATTAAGACACACTGAAACAGCTGTACATGACCAGGTCAGGACCTTCGCATCATGATCTGGCAGTGAGTCAGGAATTCTGGAAAGACTGTAGACTTCCAGATGGAGAGACAAATGGGCAAAAAGAAAGCGAGCGAGAGAAAAAGGCAAGTGAGAGCACACAAGAGCACATGCATACACACATATAGACTGCATGGAGGCAGACAGGCAAGACCAGGAGCAAGCCTGGGTAAGAGATAAGATTCCTGGGTGGCTTTGCCCTGGGCATGGGTCTGCAGAGCACAGCAGCCAGGGGCAGAGGGAGGAGAAGGGTGAGGTGTGGGAGAGAGAAAGGGGGAGACAGGGGTGGTGTTATCAAGCAAGTGCAGGGGCTGGGATGGGCGAATGGGCAGTCTGAGAATCTGACTTCCCTCCCTCTCTGTCTGCGATCCAGCAGGACAAAGAGTGAAAACAGAGAAAAAAGGACCAGAAAGAAGAAGAGGAGACCTGAAAAAAAAGGCTTTTTATGTGTGAGTTTGTGGGTGTAACATGTCTCAGAGTGACATTGTAGAAAAAAAAAGTGAGGTACACAATGTTTCTTTCAAATACGAAGTGTGTGTGTTCGTTGAAAGAGAGGAGAGAAAGAAAGAGGGGTGCAAAGCAGACAAAGAAGGAGAGGGGCAGGAGTCTTCACACAAAAAGGTGCTGGCTGTGAACAAATGTAGCTTTGGTAATGATGGTTTATTGTTTTTGGACATTTTGGAAAACAAAACACAGAAAATGGCCATGAAGCTAGAAGCACATCTTTTTAAACCTTAATATAGTCAGGCCTCATATATACATATATTCCTATCCTGCTTTCTCACCTGCTCCTGCTCTCTGTGTGTGTGCCACTGCGAGCATCATGCTTCTTTGCAGTCAGAATAAGTATCTCACAGCGTGCAAGCGTTGCATGTGTATGTTCGTGTCTGTCTTCACAGCAGGAACCGATCTACTCACTATATGTGAGGGTCTAAATAACATGCAGTATGCCGCCTCAGCAGCAGCTCTGCTCAAGCAGCGCTGCAACACAACACAGTCAAGACACGTTTGTAACCACGTCAGGCAACATGGCTGAGGGAGTTTGAACAACAACTTATGAGATGCTGAGTTCCAGTTAAATCGTACAGTTAAGATAGTATGCAGTCTTTGCTGAAGGATTTGTGGAAGACTGATTCTGTTTAGTTTGACAGTAATAGTTTGGTTAATGGGACTCCAAAAATTAATAATAGGCTCTAAAAACAGTGAATAGTTCAGGTCTTGTTTTTAGAATAGCTAGAACTGCTTAAAATGCATTCATCCCGGTCAGCTTGTTTCAGTATCAGTAGATCTGTGCTTGTTCATTGTACCAATATGTGGGTGCTTCATTTACACACAATCTTTTCGTCATTTGACTGTTAAAAAAATCTTTTTTTTTTTTTTGATACAGAAAACATTATTGGTTGGTAAGAATATGTTTAAAATTGTAGATGTCAATGTAAAGTTTCATAATATATCTGACACTACTGGAAACAGCTGTCTCATAAAATGCATCTATCAGATATAAGTGATCAATGACTTTGACATTATGTTTTTGTGTTTTATTCTTAACAATGCTTTTGCAGTTATTCTTTATGTTTTCAGCTGAAAGCATTTTAAATATTCTTCTCTTTCTTTCTCTTTATTTGAATTATGTTTTTGAGATGTTGCATATAAAATTTATAAGTAGTAGATCTGTGCTCGTTCTTTGTACCAATATGTGGGTGCTTGATTCACACACATGATCTTTTTGTCATTTAACTGTAAAAAAAAAGTCTTTTTTTTTATACGGAAGACGTTATTGGTCAGTTAAAAGATGTTACAAACATAATCCTACCTTGTTTTAATTTCATGTGTTACTAATTTCAAGTAAAATTGCTTTCTGCATGAGAGCTGGATTTGATCTTGAAGCAAAAAGAGAGAAAATTTGTTCACTTTTTTAAAATTGTAAATGGCAATTTAGAGTTCCCATAATATATCTAACATTACTGGAAACAGCTGTCTCATAAAATGTATTAATCTGATATTAGTGATCAGTGAGTTTGACCTTGTGTTTTTGTGTTTTATTCTTCAGGTTTTCTTCTAAATGCATTTTAAAATTCCTTCTCTTTCTTCACCTTTATTTGAATTATGTTTTTGAGATGTTGCACACAAAATTTTACTTGAAAAACCCACATAGCTTTGGACCTGACCTTAGGGCATGTAGATAAATGAGCTGAAAGCAAAAGACTGCCGAAGTTTTCAGTGTAATTATCGTTGTTGTTTGTAAATATATTAACTATTAAATACAGTTTACATATAAAGTGCATTGACAACGGATAAGGTTTACACCCATTGGAAGAATATATCTGTGGGATGTTGACAGGAGGGGTGGAGATCCGTTACTCATCTATCTCCTCTTCTGCCATGTCTCAATCTAGCAGTGATAAAAGAGAGCCTCTCCTGCCAGACACATGGCCAATTACAAATTAGCCAGTTTGTTGGTGGGGGAGGGGCGGCTGGTGGTAATCAGGCTTCAAGAGGTGGAGGCCCTTGAAGATTAATTGGAAATGGGCCCCCGGTAAATGTCAATGGCAATCAAGGGTTTGTACAGCTCTGATTGACTCTATACACAGACCCCTCTGCCCAGGATAAGCTTTCTCCAGCCGTGACATTGCTGGCATCGCTCCCTCACTCTCTCCATCTCCTCTGAAAAGGAAGGAGAGCAGGCACAAAGGAGGCAAGGAAAATGGAGGTGTGAGACAGTGACAGAATACCGAAGAAGATGTGTAAAGGGAAGTGTTTGACATTTCCAACCTCCTGATGTGTTCATGTTTAGGAGCTTTGGTCATGATTTGAAAGGGTGCTGTGCAGACGCACAAACACCAAAAGAAGCAATTTTCCATGTTGGGACCAGAGCGGGCATATGAAAGTCATCATGAGGGCTGTTTTTTTGTTCTTTCATATACAAACGGATATTTTTGTTTTTGTCTCCTTCCCTTTTTCTACTCTGAATTCTCTGAACACTATTACATTTTCCATTTGTGTCTCTTTGTTTTGGCTTAATGCAATAATTTGATCTCTCATTATATATGTACCAAATGGCCTTGACATCTTACCCAGGAATACAAAGCTCCATTCTCGCCTCTGCTGCATGTATACCAGCAGTGCTGGCTTACATTAATAATAGCAACCTATGATTGACTCAAAAATATCAAAGCAGCTTTTTTCGCATTGAGTGAAGAGCAAACCAGTCCTTTCAATTCTTGATGCTGTAAGCTAAGTTTCTTGAGTGCTACTGACTTCCAGTTAAGACCTGGACAGACTGGCTAACATTAAAGAGGAGGGTTGTACATTTTTTTCTGACTGTACGTCCTGTTTTAAAATAGACTGAAATTCATTTGAGGCCTTTTGATGATATCCACAGTTAGGGCTGGGCGATATGGGGAAATTTTTAACCCGATATATCTTTTTTCATATTAGTCGATATAAAAAATGAAGTTTAACAGTGCTTATTGGTAGCATGTCTTTTGCAATACAATAAGTTACTGCATCTGTGAGGTCTTTTTGTCTCTTCAACGTTTTGTCGTAAGGCGTTGCGCTAGAGAAAGCGGATTGAATGGTTGGCTGTTTCAGTTGCACAGGCGCCAAGGTCTCCGTGCTCCGCTCGGGATTTGTAACCTTTTGCATCACACATGTCCTTTCAGTGACACTGCTTCAGGTGGTGAAAAAGATTTGAGGTATTTACCGACTTAATACCTAGCACACCATCGACGTTTAAGTGCCAGTGTTGTTGACGATGTCATCATCTGTTCAGCCTTCATCTGCATTTCTGCCGAGGGTAGCACTCATTTTTTGTCGGTTTCACGTGTTAAAGTGCTATGGTTGCGTGTAGCTGCAGCCTGCTACTATGCAGTTGTTTGCTACTTGGTTCTAATTCAGCAAATTATTGGTTCAGCTCAAAGCGGACCCAGAGCAACTCCCTTTTTCATTGGCTATTCGTATAGTCTACCAAAACATACCAGAATGCCGACTATCGAAAAGCATATTGATCATGTTTCACATTGATATTTACAGAAATTAATTTTCAATATATATCGTTATCATTTTAACACCTCGCCCTATCCACAGTCAAACAAAACCATCAAGTACAAGAATGACAATTCATATAAAGTAATTTTTAATGCTTGAAACTGGAGTAAGAATGAAGGTAGCAGCTGAGCAGTTGGACAAAAGCCCTGTTTTTGCTTCTGATGATACTAATTCTACTCCTGGTTGTAAGTATGGTAGCAGAGATAGAAGCAAGAAATGATCCTTATTAAACATCTGAAAATATCTTGTTTAGCTTTTAAGACAAAAACTTTCTTAGCTCCACAGTTTAATTCTAGTTTAATAATGTTTATCCTCTAATCTCTCATAGAATTTATAGATAATGAATTAAATGAAAGATGATAATGAATAAACAAAATATGTTTGGCCCAAGGTAGTTTTTATAATGTTTGCTCTTATTATTTTTCATAGCGAAAAAGTCAATTTACTAAGCAATAACAGTAAAAGTAAGCGCCGGGTACTTCTATAATTGTATGTTTAATATTTTCATCCCCAGCTTAAAACAGATAAATAACTAAAATTGAGATTAAGTTACAGTCTCCTAACCTCTAAGTTACAGTAGCTTACAGTAGATATCTCTACAGCATATTATTCATACTGGAGCATCCAAAATGTTTGAAGAACTTTTTCACAGAGTTTTTTGAGCTGCTGAAGAGGTGGTTGTCACTTTTGGAAGCTGGGGAAGAGTTGTCCTTCCTGTCAGAGCTACCTGTCTCCCATGCTTCGGGTTTTTCCCTCACTAAGACGCAGTGCGACAGAGAATCGAACTATGACAGGTCAGTCTAGGTTGGATGGCATCTCGCTACTGCCTCCAAAGCTGTACTGTAGTGACAAATGCTGTCAATATATTGACTGAATGTCAAAAAGTTGGAAAACAACATTTTCTCACACAAGCCAGCCTTGTCACACGCAATCCCTCTACAGTACATTTAATCCACTGCTTCCTCCTGTCTCCTCTTACCCCTCGCAAATTTCTGTTACTGAGGCAGAAAACACCCGCTTTAGTCGATTAGATGCCTCCACTGACAGGAAGAGCAAAGGCAACTGAGCATTGAGGCGAGATGACTAATGAGGAGGGAGTGACATAGGAGGAGACTGAGTGCTGCATCAATTGTTTCATCAATACTGGCAGTTCATCAACCCGGACAAACATTAGTTGTTACTTAACAAGATTTTAGCTTTAGTAGAGGGAGAGAAGAGGGTTCAGGTGACCTGTAAAGGTTAAAAACAACCAAATAAAGACCTTAATCAGTCTTCACTTCTTTTGAGAAGCAATCTGGTACATATATATAAGAGTTTAACTGTGCGTAAAAAAAAAAAAAAAACATCTGTGTCTTGATCATGCCATGAAAATCTCCATGTATAGATTATATTGTTGTTGTAACTCTGGAGGAAAAAACAGTCTTCTTTGATGGTGGCTGCTTTTCTAGGTGACAGGAAAAGCAACACAAATGGCATTCCAGTTTTTGTTTTTTTTCACACAGACACCAAAATTTTAAAGCACTAATGAGGACAGAACTTGTTCCCTCTTACCTTTTTTTTTTTTCTCTGCAAGCGAACTGAATATTTTTGGGCTATTTAAGTTCAGTTTAGGTCAGAGAGTTCAGAAAGTTATTGATTTTTTTTAGAAAAACATGAGGATGCATATCTTGCATTACATAGCACAATAAAAAAGGGATGTAAATTATTCAGTTGTTATTTTCATATATATAGCAAAGGTATTGGAGAGAAATGGCTTGGGAGAACAAGCCAAGATCAGGGTGTAAAGCTACAAAATGCTGTGAATTTTTAATGCAGCTAGTGGCTCCTCAGAGGAACAATAGTGTATCATACACAGACTCAAAGGTGGTCAGGTCAGTACTGACACTGACATCTGTGTGGAGGAATGTCAAAACACGGAGAATAACGAGCTTTAGAAAAAAAAAGTTCATAGTGGAGTTCATGCAGAAGAGCTGCACCAATTTAGAGGACGGACATTTCAATGAGTGTGAGGGCAGAGGAGCTTTGAAAAGAGTGTTGATTTTCTCAGCAAACAAAGTACAAAGCTGCGTGCTCTGTTAGTTATATAAGTGTTTTTCTTCTAAGTTTGATACCTGCAACTAGAAAAAAAAAAAAGTTAAAAAGTATAGTTTTTGGACTTCTACCCCACAATATAACAAGAGTCAAGCTCATCAAGTTGATTTGTGCAGAACATGATCCAAAAGCAGATGGTAAACAAATATTTTGAGAGCATGTTGCCTTTGATATTCTGGACAGGGCTTCACCGTCTGATTTGTAAGCCAGTGCCAGCGACAACTGCATTTTAGAAGCGCTGCCAGATATATTACAAGGGGGAACTGGAGCAGAACAGCTCTCTGGCGATGCACCATGGACATTATGCAAATACCATGAGAGAACATATTAGCTAGTCTATCGGTTCCCCTTTAGAGATGCCTGCACCAAATTGTCTCAGAAGTTGCAGTGAGCTCCCACTGAGCCAAAGAATGTGTGGATTTAAATCAGAGTGACAGAGAACCCTTGCGGACATTTCATATTGCTCTTTCCACTTTTTGAGAATGTGTCGACCCTTTATTCCAAACAGCAGTCTGTTTATCAGCACCAACGCAGCATTTCTCCTAATTCGTGTTATGCAGCGGTTGCACGCAGCTACCAGATACTTGATCATCTCAAATACGCCTTGATGAAGATGCATTCAATCTGAAAAAGCCATAGCAGTTCATTGAAACGCATTTGGTGTAATGCGCCATAACACTTGACGTGCACATCTCCAGCAGAGCATTTGAGCACAAGTCAGAACAGTTAGAATGGTGGCATATATTCCCAGTAATAGCCTTGATGTTTGTTTTTAAAGAGGCTGTGGCACTGCATGCCATTATAGGGCTAATGATGTACGATTGTCATCTCACACATTGCAGAGTTAATTGGGCCTCTGTGATCATGCCTAATGGCTTTACCAGGGAATTATTGACACAATGATGTGGGCCGACGTGCTACAGGTAGCTGAATAAATAAATAAGCAATCCCTCCCCCCCGCTGCCCCCACCTCCCTCTCCCCAGACACGAAGCTCGTCAATCTTTGCAACTGCTTCTGCAGCTCCCTAGTCAGTTAACATTTTAGAAAATGGCTGCCCATTAATAATAAAGGCGTATTAACATAAGTGAATTCTGCTGCGGTGTGGGATTCAGTGGAACAGTTATTAAAGTCCAATTTGGCCCCATTAATAATGCATCCACCTTTGACTTTCTGATATCCAGATTATGTGGTATTACTGTGGCAATACATTATTTATCAACCACTTTCAATTGGGGACCTTGATGACTTCTAATTGGTAGGTGGCGCTGCCATTAAGTTACCCCTGATGAGACTTGTCAATCAAGGTGCATTCTCTCGACCTCTTTGTCCAACAGACGACACACATACACACACAGGTATGCACACGCACACGGCACAGTCTGAGCCAGGTGCCAACAGTGCCAACAGTGCCACAGGGCCGGACAGGGGCAAAGAGCTCCACCCTCATAACCTCGCCAAGAGACGGAGGTCTGACTCCTGTCCATCATGGCCATTTGAAGTGCTTCAGAGGGGAAGCTAAACGGCATGGGGCCTGCTGTTAGAGAGGCCCGGCTTTAAAAGTTAATGGCTCCCGTGCTATGCTGAATGACACTGGAAGGGTGAGCGATTGTCATGCCTCTGTCCTCTGGGGGCCTTTTGTCAGTCAGTCACTCAGAGAGACAGACAGTGGCACATGCACAGTCATACAGATACATCCAAGCAAAAAACTGTATGCAATCCATACCCTCTATGCATAAAGAAAGCGTATATATATGCATAAAAACCCACCAGAATGCCAACTACTTCTGTGAATATGCAAACACACCACACTGCAGATACAACAAGGCAACCAGCTTGTGAGGCAACATGCCGTAACTTTTCTGGTGACACATAAAGTGCTGCACAAACAAAAAAGACATCCTGTCAACTTCAAGCTATTACAATCACGCTGAATAGCATGTCATTCTGTCCAGCATGTTGAGATTTTATTGCATGCTAGATCAGCCCAAACTAATTTTAAACTGAATGACAATCGCTCACTGAAGAACACTCCTGCTGCACAGAAATGGCTGAGTAACAATTTGTGCACAGCAGAGTAGAGAGAAAAAGGGAAAAGAGTGCGAATGAATTCTGCTCCCCTGAGTGCTGGCAAGAAATGGAATCAAGATAAAAAAAAAAAGAGGGGGAAGTGAGATATCTCGTTAAATACACTGAAATTGGATACACACAGCAGCACCGCACAAAGGTACCCCCCTCCAATCCTCTTCCTCACAGATAACCACACATACACACTCGCTAACTATACACGCCTACATCTCATCCTTTGCAAATACACAGAACCAGCTGAGTACACAGTTTTAGACTGCACACGCCCTAAAAAATTGAAATGCTGCTCTTATTTAAACACAAGTAAACACAATCTCTAGGAACCTACCTGAGTTTTATTAATTGATATTTAATCTGCGCTCCATGGGAAAGGTTTTCTGGCAAATAAAGAAGGACCTCATGTTGAATCTGGCAAGCTCTACATCCCAAGAGCTGCAGCAGCACCAGCTGTGCACAGCTCAGAGATACTCAGCAGCTCGGTTAACAAGGATGGATAAGGTGCAAAGTGGATGTGGAAATGGGAGTTTTAAGGCCACCTGGATCACTTCATCAGACCAACCTGAGTCTCTGATCAGGGAGGGAATGGTCATGCATGCAAGTGCCAGGTAATATATTTATTAGTTGCAGAAATCGGTTATATTCTACTAAGGAAAGAGATTACAACAGCCCTACAAAAATCTACCTCAATGAGGAGCTATTCCTCTTTTCCTCTTTTTTGATGATTATGTTTCTTGTTTTTATCCTCTGATATTTAGATTCTTTAACATGTTGTGATTCTATTCATAAGAATACTAAAGGAGATAAAGTTTTCATTTTGAAGACAGTGCTTTAAAACTTTCTCAATTAATGACACTCTTATCATTCTCATTTTTATACTATGATTAATAACTTTTTCCATGTTTTATTAATCATTAACTAATAGTTTGTAAAGGGCTTGTTAGCAACATTATTATAAAATGTTAGCATCAATATTCATGTACATTGAATATTCATGTCCATCCTCACCCATCAGTATGCCTGCTGGGCTGCAGTGGAGGGCCAGCGCTTATAATTGGCAATCTTTTCCTGTTGGTTGACAGTACAGAGGAGTCATTTCCTTGCATTCAAATCTGCGAGTCGCACAAAGCTGGCTTGTCAACTTTCCACTTCATTACAGGTCAAGCAATAGACTCATTTCTCTCAGGCGCGTCGCTCCCATAATTGTTTTCTACCTCTCCTTTCGTAGCCAATTTACATGTGCTTCCTCGCCAAGTGTAAAAGAGACAGAGGAAGGGAAGATGAGAATGCTCTTGCTTTTCACTTCCACTCACCGTCCATTAATGACTTGACACATGGAACGCAAAAAGTAATATGAATTTTGTTCCCTTTTCTGTAGCATTTGCTTTGAGGCATATGATACAGTATGTTGAGCTGAGATGAGAATTTGATAGAAATTATGGTGTAGAACTGAGAAGAATAGGATGAAAGCAGGATGAAGGAAAGGTAGAAGCAGCATGGAGCAATAAGGCAAGAGATAGGAGGCTTTGAACTGAAGTTTACGTTAAGTGTTCCTACATGAAACTGACTCTACATAGCAGCTTGACTTATGTCCAAGTCATCAAATAAAGTGGCTTGGTCAGGAGCCTAATGCATCTTAATATGACACTGTATGTAACATCTGGTGTCATTTCTGGACTTTGGCCAATTTCTTCAAAGTCAGGTGATGAGGTCTGAAGAAGCAAATCAACAGAGATTAGGTTATTTAGACAAGAATAAGGGTCCAATTATTGGCTCTAATTTTAACTTGTTTCCAGGGGCGTGTCCACACTTTTGTGACTGGATTGGCCTTCCCTTGAATGATTCAAGTGCAAATACTTGAACCCCTGAGGGCTAAAGCTTTGCTGGATGCTGAAGCTGCTGTTGACTGGGATGGTTGTTATAAGCCATGGTTGAAATAGAACAGAGTTTATGCTGGTGTTTCTATTGCAGTAAAATACTGTCAGTAATGTTGTTAATTTTTTATTAGTTTCTATGAATAATTCGTATAGAACAAAGCATTGACAAGACTAATATCACATTACGCTGCAGCCCTTCAATAAAACTGTGAATATGGTGCACAAACACGTTTCACAGGAAGGTCGCCTTTTCTTTTGAATTGTAATAGTTGACCATTGCACACAATCTCACACATAACATCTGTTGTTTAATGCCAATATTGCTCTGCCTCATTTTACCCTGCAAATGGGAATGCGAATGCAAATGCGAAGAAGAACAACAAGCAGAACAAGAAGTATTAATTGATCCCAGAAGGGAAATTCAATTTAACCCTTAAAATTGCCAAGAACTTTAACTTTTAAATTAATATATCGGACAAGTGGTCAACTAAGGCATTTGTACTATCCATGCAGACCTAACACTGACCTTAAAAGTGTGAATTTATCCTCTGGTACTACAGAAAAACAGACTTTAAAATGGTAGAATGAGGCAACACAGAGTGATACAACAGAGATGACTTGATATTTCATAAACCAAAACACAGCACTCACCTACAGAGTGGACACTGCCCCCAGTGCGCCCACAGGCTGCTGCCAGGAAGTCTCCACAGAGACAGAGAAACGAGCTTCACTGAAACATTGTTAAAATATTAAAAAGCTGCGATCGTAATAAAAACAAATAAAACCTATTTATTTGGAAAGTAGCAGAATATAAGACAAATGGAGGCAGTAAAATTAGCCAAGCATAAAGGTAAAAGAACAACAATTCAACACACCCGCTGGCTTTGGCATATATTTTAAAATGAAAGCCACATATTTAGGTTCACACAGACGAGGCAACCACAGGTCTGTGTGTCCTCAAGGCACAACTCCTGTTTTAAAACTGCCATGGAAGAAATACAACTCTGAGCTAACCAATGTTTAATGTTGACCAAACTTTACTCTCTGACTTTCCACAAAGTATCCAAGCCTGTGGTCTTTGTTGAGCCTTATTTTCTCTCATCTAGTGCTGTTAGTATGCATGATAAGCAGGCTTCTTACCAATACTTATAATCAGTTGTACTGTATTTGATTAAAAAAAGTAGTATTTATTAGATTTGTACAACTTATTCTTGGGGAGGCTGTGTGAAAACAGTTTTGTGGAGGTTAGACTCTGTCACTGAATTAATGCAGTGCTAACATTGCTGTGGGACGTTATGTGAATTTTTTCACCACCCTTAATAACTTTTGTATCTTAAACAGTATGTAAGCAATATGTTTGTACTTAGGAAATGTACACTGTTTGTGTTCAGTATAATTTATAACCTTTAAATGTTCTGTGATCATCATTTCAGAATATTTTAAAAACGTTACATTGAATTACTTTAAAAGTGTCAAGAAGATTTTTGATCTACATGTTTATGAAACCAAAATTACATCATGATGGGTTCAATGAAAAAGTAAAAAAAAAAACTATTTGTTCACTTAAGGGGAGATGTCAGTATTTTTGAAGAGGGGTCGATGAGAAATATGCCACCAGTAGCCGAAGTGCATTAGTCACAATGGATGCCAGTCAGTACTTTTGCATGACACTCGAGTTTGAGAACTCCGATTGAGACACCCAGATAATGCGATTGGAATTCGATTTTCTTTACCATGTAACCAGCGTATTCGGAGTATGGTTGGACAATGCATGTGCCCGTGCGCCCCACCCCTGTAACCCCGGAACAAAAATACCAGGGAAGAGGAGTAGCGCGCACCTCATCTGCAGAAAAAGTAGCGTGGCCATCATGTACAACAAAAACAACGCTGTACAATGCTCCATCTTCTTGCTCGAAAATGCCCAGCAGCAGTTGTAGCCACTTCTGACGTCTATAATGGACCTGCTGTTGTTGTTGTTGGGTCAACCAGAAACACTGAAAAGGCCCATATTGTCCCCTAGTTTTGGGAGGAGGACACGTTCACGTCAATAATTTTATTTCCTCAGCTGCATCTACATGCAGACAAGGATAGAAATCTGATTCAGCGAATAAAAACGAATTATGAGCTTAGTCCGATTAAGCTGTGCATGTAAATGCACTGAATGTTATCCCCCAAATGGTTTCTGTGCTAACTGGTTTCCTTTATTCAGCTGTTGTTGTGTTTACGTGGCAGAAGAGTTGCCCTTCATTGAGACCAATACACTTAATAGTGACATGTAGCGCGACTAATATAACTTCACTTCAGAAATGCTGCACACCCACTTCTAACACTGACTAACCTTTATGTCCTATAAGGACCACAATTTATGTAAGTTTATAGTTGAGGCAGAAGATATACAAGAGTCTCTCTTGACACATCTGGCATATGTCCTGATCTGAAGTTGAGCATCAGTTTTACTGTCACATGTATTGTGTGTATATTCCCCACAGTATCTCTGTTTACTCTCTTTTATTTACTTCTCTGATAAGGAGCTACACTGTAAGCAGAAGGTGTGCAATATGGCTTTGATAGATGTTTACTTTGAAAAAAAAAAAAAAAAAAGACTACTGAGGGTAAGGTAAGATTTCAGCTCGACTCAGTATTGGCTTCACTGAGAGAGAGTTTCAAGAGGAAACACAAGCAGACCGTACAGGCCAAGCATGAAGACAGATTTTTATTCTTGACAAAAAGATAATATAAGATAATTAGAGACAACTAAACAGGCAAAATACCACCCTGTAAGTCGTCAGTGAAACATAACCCTTCAGAAAAAAAAAATCACAAACCTGATAAAACACAGACTTGTTGATCACAACAGCTATCACAAATTTACATGGAGAGAGGGGATAAAACACACTCCAACCAAAACTTAGAAAAAGATATTTCAATCCCCCCTATGCTTTCAGAATGCTTGGTACAGCCCTTTGCTGTTTCTGTGTTTAAAATTAGGCTCCGCCCACACCTCCATCTTTGGCCAAACCACGAGGGAGAACTCAACAGCTAAGTAAGATGAAATGAAACAAATAATGTAACTTAACAGCTCATTGTGACAGAAGTTTTGGCTAAATGTGTGTTCTTCCTTTAGAAAACAGAGTGCTGTCAATTGTGCAGTTTGAGCGACCAAACAGAGAACATTGGTTTGTTAAGCTATTGCTAACTACTGTTAACTAACTACTGTTAGCATTAGCCACAGCGAGAGTATAGTGAGCAGTGATAAATCACAGCCTCTTGACATAGTAGGAGTATAAATATATTATCTCTAAGTGTTATCCTGGAATGAACTGAACCTATGTTGTGATTAATACCAATCCTCACTCACATATTTCTTTATTTATGTCATAACTGTTGGTAATGTGCTGTTAAATTACTGACAAGATCTTCACTTACTTCAGCTTTTGTCTCAGCATCTCAGATCATGTTCATACAGTGAAGCTCATCGCCTACTGCAGTGTTTTATTCTGTTTTCTGTCTCTCCTGTGTCTGCTGTTATGACTCTTCATTTGTCTGAAGTCATGGTACTGTGATTATCGTGCCCTGTTCTCCTCTGAAAATCGTTCTCATCCTCTTTCCAACCCACACGCCTCCTCTGTGTCTCAAAACCCCTGTTTCTTTATGCCAACTGGCAGCGGCAAGCGGAGACAACTTTCTCTTATGTCAAATTATGCATAGACCGCATGATAATACTAATTCACCACAACAAGAGGTTAGCATTGTTACAACAAATGCTCCACATGTAAGCAAACATCCGCCACCGTGATTGGCAACACACATTTACACAAAGAAGCTAACAAACTGAGTTGTAAGGTAAGCTCACCTTACCCCAGGTTGCATCAGCAAGACAGAAACAAGCGCAACAGATGGTCTAAACCAAATTCAATCCAAATTTAGCAAAGCAGAATCCTTATTCGATGTAGGATTTGAAGACTCTTTGACTCAAATGATTTCTGGAAGGTGTGAAAGGATTTTCTGTCTTTTTCCTTTTCTGTAGTAGTCTGATAAAACAAAGTATCAAAGCTTGTTTTTTTCTGCCTTTTTAAGTCTGATGTGTGAATGTTTCGTCACCCAAGAACATATTTAAACTCAGTCTTTGGCGTTTTATCATTGACAGGCATGTGTGAGTCTTCTTTATGGTGCATTCCTGCTGCTCTACTAAACTTGCAACAAACTCCTGGTATCAAACAAGCAATTCAAGCTTTTCATTTTCCATTTCAACCCAACCATGAGGCTGTTTTTCTGGCTGTACCGCGGCGAGACCTTCACAAGGCCGAGCTTTTAATTGCTTCCTTGCAGGGGGCTCGTCTTGACAGTGCCTCACATCCTTTCTTCCACAGAAAAAAAATATATAAAAAAGACTGAAATCTTAGAAACAGCAGCAAAAAAGGATTTCTGCCTACGCTTGATCTCCCCTGCAGAGTTTGTCAAACAGAAGAAGATCCTTTAATTTGGTCACAACAGGGGCCTTCCACTATTCTCTGCACACTGAAATCCTGGCAAGAAAAGCCACTGCCTCCCCTAATGTCCCAGATGAGTCGTCTGACCTAGCAAAGTTCATGAACATGACTCTGAATATCTTGTCTCCTACATGTCTTTCCTCCTCTTTATTTTAATGGTCTGACAAAAAGAGTGAAAACAGAATGTATTCCTTCTGTTTTATGATGAGCTCTGTATTTCACTCGGCTTACCAAACCATCTGAGCAGCATCTGACTCTCTCTGTTTCTTCTCCTCGCTGCTATAGGCTTAAACCTGCACAGTGGTCTTCAGTGAGTCTCCATGGGAACCAGCACACAGGAAATTGTTTCTCATAACCAGAGCACCTAAGGTGAGAGGGGGCTTAAGATCTCAGAAAAAAAGCTCAAAATAGTCCTGGCTGATGCAGGAGGTTCTGACAATCTGTGGTACACTGACACAGGGTGTGTATGTGCCAGTTTTACCCTCAGTGGGGTGAGTTATAAATCTATCCATGTTCTCACATGTGGATCTGCTCCATCTGCTGCAGCAATATATCCTCTGTGTGTGAAATAGAGTCTTAACGCTTTTAGGAAAATTGCTTTTTTAAGAGAGTTTAAACTTCGAGTGGAAGTAGAAAAAACTGTCAGGTGATTTAATGTGTGTGTACTGCTGAACAATGGTGAAGGTGACAACTATGGTAACGTACACATACATACACATGTAGGGTTTTTATACACTGATTTAAACCTTGTATATTGTTTTATAATTTGACACCAGATAACTTAAACCCACAAGGTCACTGTTTTGCTGATATTTTATGAACTTGTAAGCTCACTGGAGCTTTATCACATACTGTGCATTTCAATATAAAATACAGAAGCACATACAGTATGTGGGAGTTTTCATATACACTTGGTATTGTGTTTGTGTATGCATGAGCCTTTTCTTTGCATTCTGTATCTAAGCTTTCACAATCTGCCTCAGTGTAAATATAAATCTCCCCTAAAGTAGACTCGTAGTGCTCTTAGGCTCCCCCTTTTTTTCTTTCTTAAGTGCTCTAAGTTGTTTTGAGAGAACCCCGGGCTGAGTGATCCATTTGCCCAGCAGGGGGCTGCTGCTCTGTGGGGAGTTTGAGGTCTCAGTGTCCCTGGAGGATCTTGATCCCTCTCTCATCCATCGTCAGGCACACCTGTGCACTCTCTCTCTCTCCCTCAAAGCCCCTCTCTAGCTAAGCTTAAAGCCAAGTGGATCCTGGTTATTCCAACTGAGGGGCATGCCTTTGCTATGTGAGGCTTAAAGGTTTAATATTGTGCCAGAAGAAAGTAAATCAAGGGCTAAAATTATGAAGTGGTAACAACCCCCAGTTGTTACCTTTAAAAGGCAGCATGTAATAAGAAACTTGATTAGCTGTATTTGAAGCTTTACAGGAACCAGTTTTCATTCCTGTCTCCTGAAAAATGGCTTGCTCTTTTTTTCAGGCCTTCCTTTTGAACCACTTATCATCAAAACATATCCTTGCACAGGCTAATAACTTTGGGTATCTCGAAAGTTTTTTGTGTCAATAATGACTATTTATTATTTAACATATGTATATATATGTATATATGTGTCTATATACATATGTATATGTATGTATATATGTATATACATATATATATACTCCTATATGTGTATATATATATACACTCCTATATGTATATATATACTCCTATATGTATGTATGTATGTATATATATATATATATATATATGTGTGTGTGTGTGTGTTCATATATGTATGTATATATAAATGTAAGTGTATATATATATGTATATATATGTATATGTATATATATATATATATATGTGTGTGTGTGTGTATATATATGTATATATATATATATGTATATGTATATATATATATATATATATATATATATATATATATATATGTAAGTCATACTGATTCTAATGTTAGGTCAGTTTATATAACATATTTTTCTCTTTTCCTACAAAATCATTTGAGTGTTTTTTCAAAAACACAGGCAGTTTAGCAAGTAAAATAGTAACCACGAATGAACTGTAAATCTATAAAGTCAACAGCTTACCACTCTTAACCATCTAGCTCTGGTGCCTGTCTTTGAGTCATCAACAAGTGCATCTGCATCAGGTAGTCTTTCTATCTTTGCAGCCAGAGCCACACAGTTTAAGTATCAGTGCACACAATCTACTTTTTACCATCTGTGGGGAGTGTTTTTACACTTTCTGAGTCTTTTTTTAAACATCACACAGTCTATAATGTGCCCTTTTTTATGAAAAATAAGATGTTGAGGTTATGTCTTTTTGTTGATTGTATTTTAATAACTGCTGAAAAAGTATTTTAAAGAAATATCTAATTTCTGTTTCAACTCCTAAATTCTTGAAATCCTGCTTAAGCCATTTGTTTGGCATTAGGTCTTGGACATCTTGGAGTAACTTTAGAGGGATTTTAATCAGATTTAATGTAATTCCTGGTTAATGCTCACTGTAATGTATTTATTCAACAAGATGTTGCTATTCAGACTACCACAAATTTCCGCTGGATAAAAGTATCCCTGGTTTGAAATCTCTTGTCTAGATTAACGTCTTGCATGGTGTGAAGTATGTGACCCAGCATACTGTACTTGTATGTCATACTGGAGGGGAAAACAAATGCCGAGAGTAAAGCCAAAGCGAGCGCATTAATCATAAAGTGAATAGATAAACATATTCAGTGTCAATCTCTGCGGAAAACATTTCAGGTAATATTGATTTGAGAACTCAATCTGAAACAAGAGTCTAAACTGTGTGGTATCTTCCAGAAACAGCTGGGGAGGATTTAGATCTTTATGACAATGAAAATGTATGAGGTAGGAGGTGCAATTTGAATTCTGATGTGATGCGCGCTGTAGTTGATGGACAATTTGTGTTGCTGTGGAGACAAACAGAGACAAATGACGGCTGCCTGTTGATTTCTGTAGGGTGGACTGTCAGGGAAACGGCCTGAGCACTGCTCATTCTGTCATCTCTGGCAATGAGAATGAATGTCAGACATTATGCTTGATCAGCTATGACCACTATATTTGCCCTCCGGAAATGTTGACGAATACTTAAATCACACTCTTTGACTGAGTCTGCAGCTCTGTGCTTCAGCTCCACAAAATCCCTCTTTTCCACTCATCCTTGTCGCTCTCACTTCTCTTTCCTCCTTCCCCCCTTCTTTTCTCTCCACTCTCTGTCTCTTCATCTGAGAATATGATTTGTCATGGTGACTGAGGGAGGAGATAGAAAAAAATGTTTACTTCAGGAAAAAAAATGTCTCTAACGTGTCTTAATGTATTCTTTTAAAAGAATTGACGCAGTGGCACGGAAAAAGATTAATTTATCACGCCATCAAGCACAGGAACAGCTGCAGAGAAGGATGGGTGTAAATTGCGAGTCGCTGACAATGCCTGCGTTACAGATGGATTTCTCTGTCTGCGTTTCATATTGAGATGCCAGGGTGTATGAGAGAAGGGGAGGGAGGGAGTAAGGGGGGGACAAGAGGAAAAAAAATGCAATTTTGTCAGCTCTTGTCTAAACTTTGTGATGGGGGTAATTTTGATCCATTAGCTCTCAGCTGCTCCTCTTGGGCAACTTTCTGTCTTTCTCACTTTCACCAGATCTGCCCCTCGGAGACATATACCTTTGGTCCAAATGGAATCCATTTTCAATGCAAAATGTGAATGAATACAAATCTGTCAGATGCCAACCTGGGCTACCGTTTGAATCGGTGTAAAATTCTAACAGAATATCTCACCGCTTGTTCTTTAACCGGAGTCAAAAGTTTTATGACAATTTTTGGAAGGAAGTTTCAAGGATTTGATTCTGCTTAGAAAATCTGTGAGGACGGGCAGGAGGCCAAGAAACCACCCCCTTAAAACTGGGATTGTGAGATGACAATAACAGGCATGATCAAAGGGAAGAAGAGAGAAAGAGAGGAGAGGGAGGGGGGGAATTCTGGAAAGCCACCTTCGAAATCGCATCACTGGCTCAGCGAGCGTGGCAGCATTTAAGGTGCTATTTGTAATATCTTTGTCCCTCGGCCCACATCATGCAAAATGAAGGCAAACACTGCAATTCACCAAAGGTCTGTATTAAAAGATGAATTTTGATTAGGATGTCCCCCTGCTTGACCCAGATGAAATTGATGAGAAGGGAAAGAGTAATGCTTAAAATAACCACAACAACATAGAAGATTTTAAGACCAGTGTTACCATTACAAAACCTAAACTAGGCAAATAAGATGTTTTAAACAGTAAGTCAGCACGATTCATGTCCTCCAGATTTCCCAGAATCACTCTTAGTAGAATCATTGTTCTCCAAGCAGCTTCTCAGGCAAATCCTCCTCAAATGGAGAGGATTATACAGTCACAATCACAGAACGCAGGGAGCTCTCTCAGACCACAGTTCACAGCAAACTTCTTGTAGCTCTGTCCAGGAGGAGAAGGCCTTCTGTTAGCTCAAAATGTTTCCTTGAAAGAAGGATTACTGTACTGTATATTAGCCCATCTCTACCTCCCTAACCCTCCTCTTCACCCCCTCGGACTGACCACCCACGTGCTGCAGTGTGGACCTGTTCCTGAGATTTCCTCACTACAGATTAGAAATGCCAATTATGTCTTATCAAGACGGAGGGTCAATAAAATATTGAAGCAACAGTGTTTACTCCGATTAAGCCTCCAAGTGCCAGATGGAGATTATGGGACAGTTCAAATTCGAGTTTGGCCAGAAATAGGGCTCTGTTGAATTATGGATCACACGGCGAGCCTCTGGGAATGCGAAGAATAGATAGGGAGGTAATCCCAGAATGCTGAGAGCTCGGAGAGGGAGGAGGCAGACAAGAACAGATAGGAGGAGAAGTGAAAATCTGTGGATGGATGAGTTAGGCATCTTGGCTGGTGTTGACTTTCAGCTGCAAACTTACTATCTTTGGAGTAACTGCATCTATGGAGACAATTTTTTTTTTTTAATTTGCAAGATGCAATAAAAGTCCACTAATACTCAATTTTTGTGATGCCAAAAATCAACCTGTGCATGCTTTTAACATTATCACAAACAAATGCATGTGCAGCAAGTATTAGACATGCATTCACATTAGGATAATTTTGATTATAAAAAAGAATAAAGGTAAAGAAACCGATTTTAAAAAGAATACATATTGTCAGCTGGCAATCTTTCCTACTTCAAACATAATTCAATTTCCTGTATGAAAGGAGATACGGCTTTTAATTAGATGAGTTTTAGCTTTCTTTGAAGGTGTAATAGGTG